AATATCTTGGTTGGTATTCAGGTTAATATCATGATTGGTCTTTAGGTTAATATCATGGTTGGTCTTCAGGTTAATATCTTGGTTGGTCTTCAGGTTGATATCATACCATGGTTGGTCTTCAGGTTAATATCTTGGTTGGTCTTCAGGTTAATATCTTTGTTGGTCTTCAGGTTAATATCATGTTTGGTTTTCAGGTTAATATCTTGGTTGGTCTTCAGGCTAATATCTTAGTTGGTCTTCAGGTTAATATCTTGGTTGGTCTTCAGGTTAATATCTTGGTTGGTCTTCAAGGTTAATATCATGGTTGATCTTCAGGTTACTATCTTAGTTGGTCTTCAGGTTAATATCATGATTGGTCTTCAGGTTAATATCTTGGTTGGTTTTCTGAAAAAAGTTCGATAGGAGTTTTTAATATTTAGATCATCATTAGTGGGATGTTTTATCAAAAATAATGTTACTCTGTCCCAACCTTATTTTGCAACTATTATTGTGTAATGTGCATGATTGCATTAAGTCTGTAATGGTCGTGGATGATCATTCATCATAGAAGAACAGTAAAAAAAAGAGTTTAAGAGTGGATTTAATGTTGAGATAATGATGATTTTAAATATCCTGGTATCCATAAACCATTCTGTTTTGTATTCAGATAAATGCGAATAGAGCGTATCCTATATATTCATTCATACAATACATTGCTCTACTATCCCTCCACCATTCAGAACATACAGTCAGTCCTATAATTCAAATACTTTTTAGATTTAGCTTAAATACAGAGCGTTTTATATAATAATGGATGATTTTCAAGCTTCAAAACTAGAAATACTCAGCCTTATGCTATTCTTAAAATCATTAATCCTATCAAAATGTTTCGTTATGTCCCTAAATTCTTATTTTAGAGCTATGCATAATTCAATTTTATTTTAAAAAATAATTACATTTCTTCTTATAAAGAAGGATTTTTATTGAAATATTTTTATAAATTGTTTAAAAAGCATAGACAACGTTCTATCTAAAAGTTGTATAAAACTAGGAAATTGTATTTTTCTGCCAAAACCAGTAGGAAAACTGTAGAACTAGTATAAAAAGTAAACTTTAAAGGATTAATGCAAGTAATAAAATTCAATTTGTCAATGAATTGGTGATATTTTTATTCTATCCGATGTTATTTTAAAGAGAATTTGATGGTGACTGTCTCTTTCTCATACGGACTCCGAAAAAACTTGTCTGTCATTGCTGGGTTTCTTTTAAAGTATTGCAATTTATTCGTAGATCATGTTTGCTTCCGCTAGAACTTTCTTAATATTATTTAATTTTTTCTTAAAGATAAAAGCTTTATTTGGTCTGAAAGTTTAACAAAAGTTTGAACACCCAACCTAACGTATATAAAACTATGGTTTGATTATAGAAACCTCTGCTGACCCCCCCCCCCCCCCCCCCCCCCTCCCCCCATATGTTTTCATACAGTTCGCTCAATTTAGTTGATATTATATACATCTCTAATTCCCGAGGGGGAACAAGTTGATAAAATACATAGATAGATCGATACAAGGATGGATAGGTGGATAGATAGATACAAGGATGGATAGAAGGATAGATAGATACAAGGATGGATAGGAGGATAGTCTTCATGTCAGATGGAACACCGTGTTCGATGCTCATTCTCAACCTTGTACTTAAACTACACAGTCGGATGGGGATATTATCAGGAGGGGAGATGGGGGAGGGGGGAGGTTAGCAAAGGGGGGTGACGGAGTTGGAAGGGGGGGGGAGCTTCTGCTCTCAATCTCAACATCTTCACCTTCTCCTCTCCTCTTTTTTCCTTAGTCTCCTTCTCACCTTCCCCCTCTCCTGCCATCTACCCTTATTCTCCTTATTTCTTCACTCCTTTCGTTACCTTTCCTTTCAATTTCATTACCCCCCTCTTCCCTTATTCTCCTTCTTTTTCCTTCTTCACCTCTTTTCTACTTCCCTCTTCCCTTCCCACTATTCTATTTTTACTTCATTTCCTCCTCTCTTTCTTCTTCCTTCTCTCTTCCTTCTTCCTTCTCTCCTCTTCTCTTCTTTTCCTCCTTCATACCACCATTTCATGTTCTTCTAACCTTCGTTCACTTCTTTTTTTCCTTCTTTCTCTTTCCTCTCACCTCTTCTCCTTTGATCTCCTAGTAAATACAAACTAAATCCGCGAAATTAATAATAAAACCGCGATTTTCTAAGTGAACATTAGACAAATAGTTTTAGCCCTTGTGGTGCTCTTGTAAGTGTCTTGTGAGTATTATGTGTATTTTGGTATTTTGAAACGCCCCTTTCCCTTGGTCCTTTCCCAACCCTCCCCCTAGCCCTTCTCCCTCCATCCCCCTGCCCTTCCTCCCTTCTCCCCTCCCTGTTTTTGTGAAAATGGTGGTCTGCTTCCCGTGACATTTATCTGTGCTTGGATTCTCTGTCATGAGATATAAATAATTAACCAGCTTCAACTCTATAACAGGGACAGGGACTGTCAGGAGCCAAGTTAGTGTGTTTGTCAAATTATCAGAAAATCTGTCTTTCAATCAATCTGACAATGTGAATCTAAAAAATGTGTTTAGATAAGACCCAACTGAAATTTTGTCTTTCGAACTACAGTCATATATAAAGGATATAATAATACAGTGTCGTCTATGTATAGTTATAATCTCTGTTTGCCTGTCTGTTTGTTTTTCCGATCATAACTAAGAACTTTATGGACCTCGGTAGGACCACAGGAATGTTCTTAGCTTGGTGTGTCAACTTTTGTAAGGAAAGATACAGTGAAACCCTTAATAACGAATACATCGAAAGAATTCATCATAATTTTATTGGTCAAACAGGTCCAGATAGCAACACTTGAACTATACAGGATGCAATACGCGTACTGTATGTTTATATAACACAAATGCGTATTTCCTACAGATAGCAGCAAGATGAGAAAGGAATATAGAAAGTAATCAATTTGCTATAGATGTCTCTCCTTGCACATTTTCTCAGAGGTTCAAAAATTAGTTTTCTGCTACAAGCAATTTAGGAAGGAGGTTTCTACCTGCCTGCATATCTATATATATATTATCTTTGAATATAGTATAAAACTCATTGAAAAATTGTCGAGACGACATTTTATAAATTCTTCCGATGTATTCGTTATTAAGGGTTTCACTCTAGCTAAAATCGCAAGGCGGGGGTAAACGGTTGGACTAACTAACTATGACTGCCCTGGGCAACGCTGGGTTCCCAAGCTAGTTTTCTAATAAAGGTTTGTTTATGACCAAGCTTTAGTTAGTTTTAGTTAGATCTCAAACATTTCATAATATCAAATAAATTTGTTTTTCAGATCTTGATAAATTGAACATTATGATTGTAATTTCAAAAAATAAATTATTCTTTTTTAAGAATAATAAGTTTTTTAAATCTACAAATATTTGAAAATTATCGCAAAAAGCAAGCTGTTTTGAAGTTTGTTTGTAAAACCATCTGAACATCTGTCAATTTTGAACTTTTTTAAAATCTGTCTGCAGTCAAATTATCTAGAAACCTATCATTTATTCTTTTTATTCATGACATTATGCGGGTTTTGATGGATGATTAAAAATTTAGAAAAATAATCATAATTTTAAATATCTTATTGAATTTTTAAAGAATACTTTAATTTTGTAGGTTTTAAAATGATTATTTTTAATTTGATTAACTATTACAAATATAAAAATAGAATTCATTATCGAAGAGAAAGAGGAATCTGTGGATATTGGATACCTCTCTGAACAACATTTATTTATTTTTTTCTTCTCCAAATATCATGTAAATACTTTTAAATGTCGTCTTCTGCAGAGAAATATTTTTCCCTTGTGTAGATTTGTTGCTGGGGAAAGCCGGGCCCCAATCCACCTATATAATTTCCCCCAGTATTACCAGGCCACTAGTTAGGAATCAACTAAATATCTAATATCTGAAGTATTTTATCATTTTATTAAAACTACAAATTTCAGCTAAACCCAATTTAACCAATGTTCGTTAAAAATAAAATGTGATCCGATTCGGAATAAGAAAATAGAATTTAGTCATTGCAGAATATTGTTTCTATTTGATGTTGATTAATGTAGCATTAATATTATAATTTTAAAACATTTTATTAACCATGTACGGATTAAACCTTATAAATATATAGATCAATTAGTACTGCGTATACATAGTACGTCTATATATATACACGAAACATGACAGTAGCAAGACGACTTGAACGTCGTCTTTGCTTTTTATTTTAATTTTAAAAGTAAATTCCTATAGATGGTATTCAAAAAATACCCCTAGTCCTGACATTTCCAAAATGTGATCTGCCTTTCTTGTGGTTTGAAATTATCGGAGAATGAAGAATTTAGTTCAGATTTCGACAATTTTGATTTTATTTAACAAATTTGAAATCTGAACAAAATTCTAAATATCTCCGTTAATATTGACAAAACAAAAAAAGCAGACAACATTTTGGAAATGCCAGGACGAGGAAAATTTTGTGGTTATTGTTTTAAGAATCATTTTAAAGTAGGTTGACGACTGAATGTCACAAATTATTTCCAATATTTAAGACGACTTTCGCCGGACACCCTGAACATTAAATACAAACTTTTGTTTATATAATCGACTTGGTGTAGATAGATAGATAGATAGATATATATACATATGTACATCAATTTATTATGCTAAAACACATTTCTCAGAGATTTAACTTATTATTTTCATCGAAAAACAAAACTATAAGTTTGATTTGAATTATTAAAGAAGAAATACTGTCTTTCAACTTTCCTTATGAATTGGGTGTTATTTTTTTTAATGAGAAAGATAATAGATAATATATGCTTCCAACCGTTTCTTCCTATAACAGTTAAAAATATAACCCTTTATTTGTTTCGCAAAGCCTCTCTTTAACGCGTAAAATATATGTGTAATTACATCAAAATCAAATGCAGTATCGTGTAATAATGCTGTAAATAAAATTTTAAAGCTTAGATAAAAATGGGTCCGTTGGCAGACTGGGAGAAAAGAATGGATATTCTTAATGCATTAGCTAGGTGAGAATAAGTTTATATTACCGAAAGAAGAATCCAAGGGGCCCATAGTCTAAGCATTTGGAAGGTTTTGGGAGGATGCTAATTTCAGCTCTTTTAGTACTTTGCCAGGGAAATATCAAAATTGCAACGGGATAATCGCAAAGAAAGATTTGCTAGAAATGAAGCATCCAAAATAGCTGATGGCGTAATAAAAAGCAAACTGGATGAAACTAAGATTATAAAACTGCCAATCCTGAAGGCAAATGATGTGGGTGCAAATAAGAGCCACTATAGAACTTAGAAGGTCTAGTGTACCCAGTAGTATGTAGTTTCCCCAACGCATTTTCCGCAACAAACGTAGGCATACTGACCTTTTGTGTAATGTCTACTATCCAGCAGGTTGGCAGCTATAATTTGCAATGGTGGGTCGCTACAGATTACCAAAACTAAATATTAAATCATTTTCTATTTTTTTAGCGTAGATAAGTTTCATTTTTAATATAAAAAGACAAGCTAGCTTTCATTGCCAATTTTGAGAGTTCTCGAGATTAAAATGCTGGTTGAAACCTTTTCAATGTACACTCTTTTTCTTACCTTTTCATAGATCAATTTATTTTTTCAGTCATGGTCTGCATCATTTATTAGAAGCCATCTTTCACAATCTTGAATCAGCTGATCTGCGTAGTATCCGGCTTGTGAGCACATGTTGGTTTGGTTTGGTTGAACAGCTGATTCATCATGGTGAACTCAGCTACCTCAGCAGAAGGTGGGACGATGGAGAACCTAAAGTAGGGGAGATGCAGGTAATATCAATGTTAATCAATATAAGTTCAAAAACATGTTATTTATCTAAAATAATTTGAAGTTAATATTAATAAATAATAATATACAGGGTCACCCACAAAGAATGAGATTTCAGAGACGATTGTATGGATTTTGTTTTGTCCGTTTTCATGCATTTAGGATTCTTTGGAGACCAAAACTGGTTATTTCTCTGTTTAACCAATCAGCAAGTAAACCAATAAAATACTCAATTTAATGCGAAAACCAAAAATCAAGCTTCTTATCGTCATACTATTGGAGTTTTGGGTCGTCTTACCATTCTCATCCTTTGTGGGTGCACTGTATTCAATCAATTCTATACATTACACCTCTTATGAATGTAAAAAAAAGTTATAAACACAGGAACCCCGAAATCTTAGCTCACAAAAATTTGCTTACGTTTGTTTAAATGCCCTTTATTTAGTGTAAAAAAGAGCGGAGTGTGTGCACTGTAACCTCTCTAGCAGTTGATGATACTAGTATAGCTGCAGGACTAGGAAGCAGTGGCAAGGTAAGGAAATCATTATTTTGAGTATTTTCATTAAACTCTGATTTGCTGATCCGGGTATCTTTGCAACCTGATGTCGTAGACCTATGATGTTTCAAACTCTAAATTCTGCTCTAGATCAAGTATAGTAAAATTTTGAAGCATCAAGGGTTTTCACCATCAGGGTGCAATACATATATGAACCTTAGTTTGTACTGCAGTGTTTACATTCCTGTATTTATAGAAATAATTGACAAGAAGGGACAGAAAATTCATTTATTGTAGTTAATGCTTTTTTGCATTCCAATAAGAAACTGCATTGCAGTTTGACATGTACATTTTTGGGGTTCCAATTCTTGATATAGCTCATATCTCATATTTTATATTTCCATGTTAATTATTATTCCAAAGTCATTGTGAATTTAAACTATTTAATTCAAGTAAACTTAAGAAAATGAAAAAAATTGATGAGTTGAAAATTGTATGATCTTATTACTTCGTAACAAAGGTGCCATGGGTAAAACAATTCTTATATCAAAGTTTTTTTTTTAACATTTACAAGCACACTGATCTAGACCATGATATGAAAAGTTTTATCAATATTCAAGACTAGATCGACCGAATTTAATGAATTTGAGCCGCGTCTCAAATCCGCCAAAAACCGGTTTCAATTGAGCGTTGGCTTAAATCTTGAAACATTGAATACAATTTAAAGTGGAACTAACCATATTTGAGCCACGTCTTAAATTTAAGCCGCGGCTCAAATTCTTTAAATTCGGGCTCTGGTCTTTTATTTTACTGCGACTGCGCAAATAGCTAAGATTATGTTGCCAGATGTTCAGGCCTATATAAGCCTACAAACATTGTAATATTTTCAGTTAACCAGAGCTGAGGCTCTGAACTTAACTCACATAACTCACATTATTAATAAAAACCCATTTAGTAAAAACCCTATTTATTAAAACTAAGAATGATTGTTTAAACTTATAGCCTTGGATTTGAATAAGTATCTAGTGTTTGGAGAGATAATAATTATCTCCCAGCTAGTATAAATACTGTTTGAAAAAGAGACTATCGGAAAAAAACATCACATTACCTCACTTACTCACTTACTTTAATCCCTAGATGAGAACATTTTAGAACTGTAAACCAATCGTAAAGAAGTAAAATTCTCATCGACTCTCAACCTCAATTGACCACTGTGCACAGTTCTGATATAAAAATATATTTGGTTTTGTTAAAACTTTGTTGGTTTTTAGATCGAAGTTTGGAACAGAAGAAGTTTTGATAAAATATTAGAGATAGAAGGTCACAAAGAGGGAGTATATACTCTACAATTCGGCAGGTATTATTCAAATTTGAAAGTTAAAAAAAAAAATTTGTTATTGTTTTATTTGTAAATGCGCCAAAAATAATTAATGATTTCTAGAACTTTTAAAAAAACTAAAATTATTATATTCTTGTATTTATTCCATACCCAGTTTGCAGTTTCATAAATAATGCCCCAACCCGAAAAAAAGAAAATATGGTGACATACCTCAATTTCTTGGTAAATGCATAAATGCTTGTATTTAGATTCGAAAACATATTTGAAGAAATTGGTTTTTGCCACAAACTAAAATGTTCTAATCCTTTTGCAACCTGAGGCTGAATTTAAAGAATTTGAGTCGCGGCTTAAATTTAAGCCGCAGCTCAAATTTGGTTCCACTTAAAATTTTTCAAGATTTAAGCCGGTTTTGTGGGGATTTGAGACGTGGCTCAAATTCATTAAATTTGGACACTGATAGTGTAATCCTTTTATATTTCAAACTATTTTAGCTAACATAATCCATCAAAGGCCTATTTTAGCTAACATAATCCATCAAAGGCCTATTTTAGCTAACGTAATCCATCAAAGGCCTATTTTAGCTAACATAATCCATCAAAGGCCTATGACTTTAGGTATTAGAAGAAAAAGGTGTTAAAAGATTAGAGTTTGTGGCAAAAACTCAATTCATTTGTTTTACACGAAAAACGTTCCCATTTTGAAGTTTTAAGAGTTTTATTGCTCTAACGCATTAAATTTTCCAGTTTTTTTTCAAAGTTTTTCCACGTGACTTTTTAAGTTCTGTGAAATTTATGTGTATTGCATAGTAATGAAGTTTTTTTCACCTGACTTTTCTTGATTTGAATTTAACACCACCATGTTTTGGGACCAGATTTGATTAATATAGAGAAGTAGCTTATCTGTGCATGTATAGTTCAACCATTTCTCTTTTGTGCTGATTTTAGCTGAAGAGAAGTAGTTGAACCACGTCTACGCGGTTCAACCAAGTCTCGCTATTTATTAAATTTGAGATGGAATTTAGAGAATTTGAGCCGCGGTTTAAATCCGCCAAAACCCGGTTTAAATTAAGTGCCGGCTTAAATCTTGAAACATTTGATACAATTTTAAGTGCAACCAACCATATTTAAACCGCGGCTTAAATTTAAACCGCCGCGCAAATTCTTTAAATTCGGCCACCGGTTTTTGTTCGGATAGGGAACCAAACTGTAAAATATAAATATTCCACGTTTAACCTATATTTGGAATCTTATATATTGTCAACCATAAAATCTTTAATTTAAGAGCTATTTAAGACGAATTTTTGAATTTCTAATTTGTAACCGGATATATATATAACCAGATAAATTAGCTTTTCGTATTTTTGTGTGTAAACTCCAAGCTAGTGGAGGTACGAGGTCACAAAGTCATACCATGCATTTTACCTTCTTTTCTGCCTATTTTCTTACAGATAATTTTCACTTCACCCTATTTTATATTAAGGTTTATACTAGTCAGTGGAGGGGAGGACGGTAAAGTTAGAGTTTGGAGTCGATCCTCAGGAGATCTTTTAGATGTACTTGATCATCATACATATATAGGTAGGACTAGCTACGATCCTCGGGAGATCATTGAGATATACTTGATCATCATGCATATATAGGAAGGTTAGCTACGATCCTCGGGAGATCATTTAGATATACTTGATGATCATGCATATATAGGTAGGTCTAGCTATGATCCTCGGGAGATCATTTAGATATACTTGATCATCATGCATATATATGAAGGTCTAGCTACGATCTTCAGGAGATCTTTTAGATGTACTTGATCATCATACATGTATAGGTAGGTACTAGCTACAATCCTCGGGAGGTCTTTTAGATGTTCTTGATCCTCATACATATATAGGTAGGTACTAGCTACAATCCTCGGAAGATCATTTAGATATACTTGAAGATCATGAATATATAGGTAGGTACTAGCTACGATCCTTGGGAGATCTTTTAGATGTTGTTGATCAACTTGATAATCATACATATATAAGTAGGCACTAGTTACGATCCTCGGGAGATCTTTTAGATATACTTGATGATCATGCATATATGGGTAGGTCTAGCAACGATCCTCGGGAGATCTTTTAGATGTTCTTGATCAACTTGACAATCATACATATATAGGTAGGCACTAGCAACGATCCTCGGGAGATCTTTTATACATACTTGATCATCATATATATACGTACAATTCTAATTTTAAACTCTCTAATGATAAACTCTCTATAATGATAAACTCTCTATAATGATAAACTCTCTAATAATAAACTCTCTATAATGATAAACTCTCTGATAATAATCTCTCTAATGATTAACTCTCTAATGTTAAACTATCTAATGATAAACTCCCTAATGATAAACTCCCTAATGATAAGCTCCCTAATGATAAACTCCCTAATGATAAACTCCCTAATAATAAACTCCCTAGTGATAACCTCTCTAATGATTAACTCTCTAATGATGAACTCTCTAATGATAAACACTTTAATGATAAATTCTCTAATGCTAAACTATCAATGTTAAACGCTTAAATGATAAACTACCTAGTGGTAAACTCTAAAGTAATAAACTCTCTTATGATGAACTCTCTAATGATAAACTATCTAATGATAAACACTTTAATGATAAATTCATTAATGCTAAACTCTCTTATGTTAAACGCTTAAATGATAAACTTCCTAGTAATAAACTTTATAGTAATAAACTCTCTTATGATAAACTCTGTAATGATAAACTATCCAATGATAAACTCTGTAATGATAAACTCTCTAATTCTTAACTCTCTAATGTTAAACGCTTAAATGATAAGCTACCTAGTGATAAACTCTATAGTAATAAACTCCCTTATGATAAACTTTCAAATAATAAACTATCCAATTATAAACTCTCTAATCTAATCATAAACTCTCTAATGATAAACATACCTACATTGTTAAATATGCATTCACTTCAATTAACTCTAAATAAACAGAGTTTATTATTAGATAGTTTATCACTATGAGAGTTTATCATTAGAGTCTACTTTTATTTGAAATATGATTGATATAAGCGCAATCACTTCTAAAGTCAGCAGTATATGTTATCAGGCTGCAAAGATTTGGAGATTATACATTTAGAAATTGTGGCAAGTGATCCTCTCTAAATACTTATCTTTATTGCATTCCATATTAAATCATCTAAAAATCTTCTGTTGACTTTAGTTACAAGTAACTGCGCTTCTATCAATCAAATTTCTAGCAACTGTACCTGCAGCAATGATATTTTTACTGATATGTTGTTATGTTTTAAGTATGGTCTGTAAAGCTTGAAGGAGATCAACTGGTGACAGCTAGCTATGATTGCACAGTCTGCTTTTTATCTATTCAGGAAATTATAATAAAATTATGATAATTTATTTATATCATTGTTCTCATTGTACTACAGACAAAAAATAAAATATTTTATGTTTTTTATCCATGCTCATAACAACCTGGTTCAAAATAGAAAACTCTTGAAAAACAAACTGGCAACAGAAGTTAAGTTATACTTTTAAAAAATTTTGATGATTAAATATTTTTAAAGGGATCTGAAAACTCATTCCAGAGCACATTAAAGAAAAAGGTCAGCATATGATTTTTTTTAAGTTGTCATATTACACGTAAACATGTTTTGTTTTGTTTATTTGCACCCAGACCTAGAAATACATTTATTAAAACTTTATATTTTTTAACCTGTATTAACAATATTTAGATCCAAGGGCCGTGGGAGTGGGCTGATGCCCTGTTTCTTGAAGATCATGGATATCTACTTGTTGTACACGATGAAACTAACTTCTCATTACAAGGTATAAAGGGACCGTAAACGTAATTTCAAGAGACTCTCCTCAATGTCTGATTCATAACGTTTACCCTTAAAGGGAGTGTTCGCAAAAAATAAAAGGGGATATGTTGCATCTGTAAGAAGAAAATTGTTAAAAACATCTTATACTGAAAAATGTAGCTTTCATACAAATTCAGAAAGTTGCAATATACGACTCGTATCGTGAAATAATCAATTCAATTAATTTTTTTACGATCCGAGTCGTATATTGCAACTTTCTGAATTTGTATGGACGCTACGTTCTTCAGTATAAGCTGTTTCTAATAATTTTCTCCTTTTAGACTTAACAGATAGAAGTAAGAATAGTAGCGATCAAAAGCGATTATTTTTCGCCGTAAGCCTACACTTTCTTTCATTTTTCATTTTTCTTTCCCTTGTTTTATCCACAGAACGACATAAAATCGGCATTTTTCCGCAGTCAAAGATAAGAATAAGGTTTAAAGGTTGTGAATTGGACAGACCATTTTAAAATGGAGGAGCAATTTAAAGATACGTCTATAGTTCCTTTAAGGAATCTTTTAATAATTATAAATTTTTTATTTGTATGTGGATCTTGAAAGCATTTTTATCTTAAATTAAGGACAAAGGAATTGAGTTTTCGAATCCATATCTTTACAACCTGATGGAGTAAAACTTTGAAATTACAAATTTAGATTATTTGGTCTAACAAAATTCAAAGTTTGAAATATCTAAGGTCTATGAGATCGGGTTGCAAATATATGCGTATTAGAAAATCAGAGTTTGTGACAAAGACTCAATTCCTTTTGACAATTTAGTTTTGCATTCTTTCAAATTTTGTCAAAATTTAACTTTTCCAATCTAAAATGTTGTTAAATTTAGCTTTTCTGTAATTTATTTTATTGTATCGTTGTAAAATTGCAATAATTTCAGTTTGGGGTATAGAAAACCAAGAAAAAATCTCCAGGTATTTAAAGCAAACTTTCTTAATACGAAACATCTTGTTAAAAAAAGTCTTAATTTTTAACTGTTTCCGATTTTGATTAAAAATGATTAATTACTACAAGGTGTCTCAATAAACATGGAATTTGAGTGATGACTTCGGGATCGTCTGTGTTAAAAATTAGCCTTATGATGCTTAATTTTGAAAATCATACAACTTTTTGAATGCATTTAAAACATATACAAATAAATTATAAACCTCTGCTGCACAGGCAGAACTTGCTATGAATTACAATATATATACAATACTAAATTAAAATCGTTACTCAGTCCCCGTGTTTATTGGGACACTCTGTATTAGATTAGAAGGACATACTGATGAGGTCCATGCTGTAGAAGTGAAGGGAGCTCTTCTAGTATCTGGAGGATCAGACAAGTACCTTTGACATTTTTTCTTTTTTAGAAAATGTTTAAATATTTGAGTTCTTTCGGAGTTATTGAATATTGATGGTATTTAACAGTATTGAACCTATCTCTGGTCTCACAGATGCCTCATACGTGCTTTTATTTTTTGGAAAATATCTCAGTCTTTTTTGTCTTTCTTGTGAGTTAAATTCATGTCAAAAATATTACATATATATATAAATACTATATATATAAGTACTATATATAAATACTTCGAAGTCTCTTCGTAAAAGGAAAACAGATAAAATCACTTTTGTTTAGCAGAGTAGCTTCTGTAAAGCATCATAATTGGTGATGCTATATCTTTATATCTATATATCTATATAGTTGTTCAAAGAATTGTAACTACTGAGGATCGTCATGATAGACATGAAACATTGTGTTTAGTATAATTCTTTTTTAATACAAATGTGAAGTTAAAAACTGAAATATCTATATATCTATATATATCTAGAAGAGTCTGGAACTGGAAAAGGAGTGTATAACTATATATATCTAGAAGTGTACGGGTCTGAAACTGGAAAAGAAGTGTATAACTATATATTGTAACGATTTCTGTATGATATGAATATACCATCTTTATTATCTATGTTCTGTTCTTTCTATTATCGTGTTTTATTTGACCCTGACCGGCCTGTCCGGTCAGGGTCGAATAAAACAGGGACCTAGATCGTTACAATATATCTAGAAGTGTACGGGTCTGGAACTGGAAAAGAAGTGTATAACTATATATATCTAGAAGTGTACGGGTCTGGAACTGGAAAAGGAGTGTATGCTTGTATATTCTAGAGGGGCATGAAGGGAAAGTCTGGAGTATAGGAATACACAGGTTTAATATTAACTAAAGTTTGTGAGTTCTTTGAATAGAAAATTTGTGTCGATTTTGTTAAACACCCTCAAATGGCTTAATACAAGAGTACAAATCATCTTTGTCTCAGCAGTAAAGTCTAAATGGTAAAGTTTAAATGGCAAAGTCTAAATGGTAAAGTTCAAATGGCAAAGTCTATATGGTAAAGTCTAAATGGAAAAGTATAAATGGCAAAGACTAAATGGTAAAGACTAAATGATAAAGTCTAAACGGTAAAATCCAAATGGAAAAGTCTAAATGATAAAGTCTAAACGGTAAAATCCAAATGGAAAAGTCTAAATGATAAAGTCTAAACGGTAAAATCCAAATGGAAAAGTCTAAATGAAAAAGTCTAAATGGCAAAGTTTAAATGATAAAGTCTAAATGGTAAAGTTAATTTGAAGTAATAGTAAAGTATGCATATTTGAGTTTTATTAATAACGACAGAAAGGCAAATGATAAAGGTTGAATTCAACTTATTATAATAGAAATGTTTAATTGGCAAATATTGATTTTAAAAGTCTTCAAGTCAAATGAAAAAGTGTATATTTTATAGGATGCGGATAGGAAGTGGGGGAAGGTTTGGTGAGGTAAAAGTCTGGAATATTCCGAATCTGGAGGAGATGATTAATCAGGTATAAGAACCTACAGGGATATCTGGAGGAGATGATTAATCAGGTAAAGGAACCTACAGGGATATCTGGAGGAGATGATTAATCAGGTATAGGAACCTNTATCTGGAGGAGATGATTAATCAGGTAAAGGAACCTACAGGGATATCTGGAGGAGATGATTAATCAGGTAAAGGAACCTACAGGTATATCTGGAGGAGATGATTAATCAGGTAATGGAACCTACAGTATCTGGAGGAGATGATTAATCAGGTAGAGGAACATACAGGGATATCTGGAGGAGATGATTAATCAGGTAAAGGAACCTACAGGTAAGAAATTGAAACTGTTTGATTTTTGACATAAAAGACTAAATTTTAGACAAAAGACTTTTTACCTTGAAGTCGAAAAGTTTTACGAGTTTCAGATCGTCTTTACATTCTCATCCTTAGTGGGTAACCCTGTCTGTAAATAATTTTTCCCAAATCATTTGGGGGCCGTAGGATTTAAATATTGAAAACATTTTTGTAACGAAACATATTTTGTTTTTGTGGATATATTTCAAAAAATCTTTTTTTGCATTATCCTGAAACACAATTCATAAACTTAATTATCTATTTCATTAAAATACTAATGTTAAATTACGAGATATAACTGAGTCTAAAACTAAAGAACGAAAAGTTTTGACTTAAATTTTAAGTTCATGGTTAAATGCCACTTCTGACTTAATTTAAACCTGAACTTTAAACGTGAGGTTAAATATTAAACCCTGTGGTTAAATATTTAACTCCCCGAAATCGACGAGTTAAAATTTAAACACAGGGTTAAAATATTGAAATCCCGCAATCCCTATTTGTCTATCATCATTCAGCGGTAAGCGGCATTCAACCAATTACGATATATTTAAAGTAAAAACCTTGATTTAATAAATTTCACGTTTTAGATTATTTAATGTTGCATGTAAACCCAAAATATGGGTGTTACTGGAAATGTGTTTTGTTTTCCGTCACGTAAATAATTTAAAATTTTAAAACAGCTGATTACCGATAGTTACGTAATAATTCTCCGTAAATCATTTTCTCTAATTGGTTCAGATTTTACCCGGGAAATTCAAATTTAAAATTGAGAAAGTTTAATATTTAAGGAGCTACTCATTATTTTACAGAACTTTTAAACTCGAACTTAAATTTCGCGCATTCTTTAGTTTTAGACTCAGGACTGACTAATCTATATACAGGGTGTCCCACGAAACATGACAGTTTGTAAATAGTTTTAAATGTCTTCTTCCATAATTTGTTTAATTGTCTGATACAAAAAAGAATAATAAAATATGTTATAACAGTCATATATTAGTAAAATTAATTTCAAAGTAAAATATATTTGAGTAAAAGATTTGTTTAACGAAATTTACTGCACAAAGTCTTAATTATTTATCTCAGTATATTCATCAACAGTCATGTTTCGTGGGATCCCTGTATAAAAATAAATACAATAATTTTAGTTTTAAACAATTTTAGAAATTTGAAAATCCAGCTTCAGATGAGGTAATAGGAGATGAAGAAGTAACCCAGTCTCCTACGCTCATCAAGGTATTTGATATTTATCCTATGTATGAAGGATGAGAATTCATAGACGACCTAAAACTCGTTATTTCTCTCGATCTGAAGGTTCAATTAGTATAATTCATCATTCCCAGAAAACATTTTTTTAAATTTAACATTTATAGATTTAATCCCCCGTTTCTCAGCACAGCATATGTTTTATATTTTCAGCTATTTTTAACTCAGTCTTAGATAAAATAAATGTCGTGTTAAAATATCATATATTTTTCTATTATATTTTGTCTTCACTTTTGTTGACAGATGTGAGAGTGGTCGAGAACTAAGCCATATACAGGGTGTCCCACGAAACATGACATTTAAAAATTGTTTTTTTTAGTCAAAAAATCTTTTGCTTCATTATCTTTTACTTGGAAATCAATTTTAATATAACATGACGCGTATTCAGGTTTTTTTCCCCAGGAAGGGCTTAAAATTCTTTTTTCTTTTTAAGGGGGGGCACATTAGAAGTCCCAGGCAAAATCAATGTATTTATTAAGCGACTGTATAGTATTTATATATAAACTGCATACAAACATAATTCTTTTTTAGATTTTTAATCTTGAACATTTCGAAAACTGAAAACGACTTTTACATGGGTCTTTGGTCTATTTTTTCTAGTCTTTACTTTTCAAAAGAAATCTTTTGATGCAATTATTTCCAAACCAAATAAAACCTAATGGCGCAACATGTCGTCGTTGCCTTTGTCTGTTCCACTTTAGTATTTATTCACTTTGAATCCAATCGCCCTAAAGATTGTAAAAAGGCGAATTTCCAGGATCAAAAACAGAGTTGATTCAGCCCTGTAAGAGAAAACAGACTAAGCTTTATGGACTGTGAACATGTATTTGTATAACGAACTGTTCGTAGACAAATATTAAAGAATTAAACTTTATAAGCCATCTCATTCATGAGTGGAAATAAATGTCGTCTTATCTCAATTTTTCCTTTTTTCCAGAAGAGCAGAACTCTACTGTGTCATCCTAAATCTACTTCTGTCTCTGTTCTTCATATTGACAGGTATATATTTTTAGACCTTTAAGGTTTACATTGCGTTTCGTGCCTCTCGTTCTAGTTATTAGCTTTGCTTTTTGTTGCTGAGATTCTTGTATTTTGAAATTATATCAATTAAAAATGCCTGAGGTTTAATTCTGTTTATCGAAATGTTATAAATATGTATGAAGTTGTAATCTCTATTTGTCTGTTTGTTTTTCCGATCATAACTCAGGAACCCCTTGACCGATTTGCCTTAAATATTGATTTGGGAACTCGGGAGAACCTAGGGAATGTTCTTAGATTGATTTTGAGATTCTAAGTTAAGTTGTTAGACTTTAAAAGCGAAAATTTAGTTTCCCGGTAAAATCGACCAAGTGCGGATAAACGTCGGGAGTTACAAAAAGCTTTAGAAATATGTATTTTACATATTATGCCCATAAACCTTCCCTAGGTTAAGGTGAGTTACCTGCCGTTCAGCCGTTTTTACTTTAATTGGAAACAAAAAGAGACAATAAGCGCTATAGCATATATTTATCTATATAAAAAGATGTAACAAAAAATCCGCAATATTTTTGTCTGGAAAACAGCTACAGTAAATGTTATCAAATAAAAATTTTATAGCTGTTATGATTTTTCAAAGTTCCTAAAGTATTTTTAAATTTTTTTATCACATTTTATTTGAATGCCTAAAATCCGAAGAAAATTAAATTTTGAAAAAAAATTGAACAAACATTGACATTTTTTTAGTTTCGCAAACTTTATCAGTTGTTTATATTTTCCCCTTTATATACAAGGTGTCCCACGAAACATGACAGTTGGCAAATAGGATTGAATGTCTTCTTCCATATACTATATAAGATATTAAAGACTTTTTGTAGTTTATTTTGATAAAAAACCTTTTACTCAAGTATATTTTACTTTTAATATAAATCAATTTTACTATAATATGACAGCCATGTTTTGTTTTCTATTATTCTGTTTGGCATCAAAGAATTGTATATATTATGGAAGAAGACATTTAAAACCATTCACCAACTGTCATGTTTTGTGGGACACCCTGTATATTTCTTGTTCTAGTTTCTGCTTGGTCACAGGAGATGGTTTGGCTAAAATTATAAATTGGGATTTCTGGCATCAACAGTCAAACTCATCTTCATGTAAAAAGGTGAGTATTATTTCCAGGATATGTTAATTTGGTTATATATTCAGTTTTAAAGGGATTGTTCACGAAAAATTGAATAGGATGATATCGAACGTAATTTTACTTCTATCTGTTGCAAAATATGAGGAGAGCGTACTGTCCATTCAAATTGACGTAGTTGCATTAATTCACTCAGAATGTAAATAATGAAATTTAATTTAAAACTACTAATTTACACCTACAATAGTCCTTTTTCGCGAACACTCCCTTTGAACTTAAAGTTGTTGACTGATTTGAAATAATTGTGCTTCCTAAAATTATACTTAAAAAAGTAACATTAGTCACGTTTGCTAAAAAGCTTTAAAAACTATTCCATATTCAAAAGTTAAATTCAAATTTTTTTTCCCTCTAAAAATTGGTTTTTGTTTTAGTACAACACTCCAGTACCAGACCCCCTACTGATGGAGAGACATTTAAGATAGCTCGTACACTGTCCGTATTCATACACTTTTACACTTAAAAGTTCATCTATAAAATGGATTCGACTTTTATCATGGTCGATCATCTGTCTTATTTCTTCGTAAATTTTCTTCATTTTCATTCATTGATAACATTGCATTTTATAAGTCTGTAATAAACAGTTTTTGACAGATGATGTTTCGCAAGTAAATTAGGGACAAAGGAATTGAATCTTTGCCACAAACTCTGATATTCCAATCCCTATATCTTCGCAACCCAATGTCTTAGACCTGATATATTTCAAAATCTGTTAAATCAAATAATCTAAGTTTGAAATATCAAAGGTTTACTCCATCAGGTTCCAAAGATATAAGGATTTAAGAATTTTAGTTTGTGACAAAAACTCAATTCCTTTCATCTGGCTCAAAAATGCCAAAAAAAATAAGTTTTAAAAATGTAAATAAACGGAATACAGATATATTAAGCTTGTTTTTTGTTTGTATGCTAGTTCGGAACCAATAAACTTCAAAATAGGTAAACTGATCGAGCATACATTTTTTTGAAGACATCTGATGACCAAATGAAAATGTATAACCACATGAAAATGTATGACCACAGGAAAATGTATGACCACAGGAAAATGTATGACCACATGAAAATGTATGACCACAGGAAAATATACTTAAAGGGAGTGTCTGGCTATGTAAGGTAGTTGAACTGAGTATGCAGTATTGTGGAAAGCTTCTTTCGGCTTCATTTGAGACATATAAAACATTTGAAAGATCTGTAGATCCTGAGTTTGAGCGCAAAGTCGACGTTCAAAACTCCTGAATTGCGGACGGCCATCTCACAGAATGAGTTTTTTTAAAATTATTAATTAACGACGATATAAAATGTAAAAAAGTTATATAACAAATATGTAATAGGCAATGCGCGGAACACTTTGAGAAAATAAAATTAATTGTCATAATAAAAATAAAGGAAATATATTTTATTTTCGATTTATTTTCGTCATGTGAACGGTCCCTGTTTTTCCCCCTGATTTCGCGGTTTTCAAACCGGTGTGATGCCTGGAGAGAACTCGTACCTGCAGCGAACTCTGGTTATGCTACGCGGCAAAGCGCAAGATTCTTTAAACATAAACAAACACTTG